ATAAGAATCATATACATGTCGAGTTATTAGCATAAATGTCACAGTTTGAAGGATAAATGGAAATATAACACTTCCGGGAAATATTGTCACAAAAGCCTTTTGGACTTTTAGTCTCTATATACTATTCCCTATATTTTTAGAATATACCATTGACAGTGCTGACTGTGATTACATCAATTGGCATTATATCAATCAGGCAAAAAGAGGCCAGTGATGTGAAAATAGCCAATAGCACAGTGTTATAACATGACGGTCACGCCACTTCTGAAAACGAGGTTGGACAGCTACGTTCACTGATTTATCCAATAAAATGGCCGCGATGGAAGAGAAAACTAAGCTTGGCGCATTATTTTCTACTACTGTGTATCAATCAATTTCGCGTAACCGTCCATCAATTGTTTACATTACCGCAAATTCAAAATACATCATTATGGCTTGAGTAGAACATATTAGGTAGTTTCCAATGCTCAATTGGCTTTGTATGATCGTATGTAGAATACATCTATATACCACAAGGTTTTTAGGCAATGTAGACCATGCCCTAACAACAAAAATAAACAATTTACTAAATTTTTGTGTAGTTTTGGATTTCAAACTCGACAGTTTTTCTCTTATTTCACGTTATCCCCGGGCATCAATTTGCAAAGACTACGTTCAAAATATACATTACTGAATGTATCACCAAATGTGATTCTTACATAAATCGTTCATCCTTTCATTGATACACAGTAGTAGAAAACAATGCACCAACCTAAGTTTTCTCTTAATCGCGGCCATTTTATTGGATAAATCAGTGAACGTAGCCGTGCAACCTCGTTTTCAGAGGTGGCGTAACCGTCATGCTATAACACTGTGGTTACCGTCCATAGAATTCACACTTCGATAGAAGTCATACGTAGTCGTCTAACGACATTGCGTTTGAAGCCTCATTATTTACGATATACACCACATTCCTGTTCTGGATTTGTCATTTTATGCCTTGTTTATACACAGTTTACTTACACTTAATATTTTGAGTGAGAAAACACGAGAATGGACCAAAAATTATAAACTTTGATATCTCAGTTGGAAGGTTTACAGCTTATATTCGGTTTCTTGTAGACCACCTGGCAGATTTGACCCAGTCTTTATAACCATCCATATATACGTCACCGAATGGAAGTAGTTTAAAAGGAGATCTTACCTACAGGCGAGAAAGAGGACATGCTGCCTTTCCCACCCGCCATTTTTTGTTATCATTACCGCAAAATTTTGCAAATTTTTTTTTTTTAAACATATTATTTATTTCCTTCATAATCAAAAAATACACAAAATATCTACTACCAATCGCCATAGGCATTCTAGGTAGTTTAAATTACAAAAGAGGATTAATTACAGTAATCATAGATGGTTTATTGGTAGTGTGGGAGGTTGGGAGGGAGGGGGGGGGGGTTGTCACAAGATACAAATGAGAAAAACATTAATTTGATGGAAACTTATAACAGGCCTGTACAAATTGCATCACTATATCTATCAGGATTTTCTGAGAATCAATAGTGAGTTCATTTTCATAAATTAAGTATTTGACCTGTTCTGTCTTACTAGAAATAAGTTGAGTATCAAACAATAAAGGATCTTGTACACCTGCCATTATGATCTCCCCATGAACAAAATGAATCATTTTTAGGTGTAATATAAAGAATACAATGTTACATAATACTTTGGAAAATATTTAAGCGTTTGGCCCCACATGGGCTGAGGTTAGGGTCATTAAGTTCAGCAAGGGTGTATTGACTTGACATTGGATGTGTTCTATTGACTTAACATGTGGATACCATCAGATTCCAATGGAGGCCATTGGTTTCTATTGATTTTCACAAAAATACCTAAAATACACTATGACCTGAATCGATTGCAAATTAAATAATTTCACAATATGACACAAATGGTATTTCAGATCAGATGTGCAAATATAAAGTTTGCAATCGATTCAGGTCATACTTCAAATTAAAATATTATTCATTTTTTTCATCATTTTTTTCCTACAAAATGGCTATAGAAACATGCTTCAAAAGCAACTTTTACACTTATGAAATCCCATACAACTTTGTAAATCCAAAGATTATACTGTTATGATTCATTAATTAATAACATATTTTGATAAGATGTAGGGATGTGTAGGACGCAAATGGATTTTGACAGACACAAAAAGACTTCCTGGTTTGGCATCTCTACCCCTGTACACTTTATGATTGAATATTGCCCTAAAAAGTGGCCCATTCATCAATACAGTGCTGAATATAGGTCAACAAGATACCAGTGTACATATAAATGTAATAATAAAAGCAGTATATTTATTTTGAAAAATCGGATGAATTTATTTTTGTTCATGGGGAGATCATAATGGCAGGTGTACAAGATCCTTTTGTTCACGAAGTGCAGTCATCATTTTATTACGTTCATGGGTATGGCGAGGGCAGGTTAGAATGAAATGCTTTGTGTCTTCAGTAGAGCCGCAGAGGCATTTGTTGTCAATTATTCCAGTTAAATTATGAGTAAAGAAATGGTCTTTAAGGGCAAAATCAACTCGAAGCCTATTTAGCAGTTTTTCGTTGGTTCTACTTAAATTTAGTTTTGTAGTTGGTATAAAGTTTGAAATAGGGATAAATATCTGTTTAATAGAGCTTTTGAATCTAGAAATGGTTTGAATTTCACGAAAAGTCTGGCTTAGCTGGTTCCAATCATTTATAAGTTTTAAAACTGGTGCTTTGGAGAGTCTCATTGAAATATTTCTTGGGCAGGAAAAGGGTAAAGAGTGTCTTAAAATTCTAGTTGCTTGGTTGCGATGTTGGTCAAAAAGACTATGGACATAATAAGGCACTTCCTTTCTTACAATTTTGAACATCAGTCTTAGATTTTTTCGTGTCTTTTGTCAGTAAGCGATTTCCACTGTAAACATTTTAAAGTTTTTGAGGTGTTAGAGCCATGCAGTACCCCAGCACATATAACAGCAGCTTGGTAGTGGATTTTATCAAGCTTTGACAAGGCCGCCAAGGATGACGATCCGTAAATGGAGCTACAATAGTCAAAATGAGACGCCAAATATGAATTATACATTATTTCAAGATGGTGCGACTGTATTTTGTTTGATATGAGCTTCAAAGGATTTAACAGTTTTTGAACTTTATTAGACAGATAGTTTATATGGTCATTAAAAGTCAAATTCTCATCTAAGATGAAACCCAGGTGCAAATCGCCTTGACGTAACCGTCATGCTATAACACCGTGAATAGGGGACCATAAGTTTACACATTCCATGTGTACGTTCATCAAAAGAGTGCGATCTTAACCTCCCTTAAAACTGAAATTGTTGGCTCAACCAATAGAATCATTCTATGTTTGTTTATATTTGTTCACATTAATATGGAAGAAAATCTGACATTTTGCTAAAAAGATGTTATTGTAAATTTAGAAATAATGATAAAGGTAGTTTACACCACACACTCAATGGTATTGATTGTGGTTTTCAGAGACTCTCAATAGGGACCTTAAGCTTGCAATGTTCACAACCTAAATATGAATGGAAAATGTTTAGCGATGCATTTGTGTGGGCGATTGGTCATAGGTTGGTGTTTCGATTTTATATGCAAGCTTAATCTCCCTAATGCTAACATTAAGGTAAGAGTGTATGTTACTCATAACATTTTCTTAGGATAACATTTCTTGAATTGATGAATACTCAAAAATTATTCTTAGCATATCATCCTTCATTTTATTATTTGAATAATCAATCTGGAGATATACTCAAATAAGGAAGTGGGTTATAACACATCATATAGAAACATGTCCAATGTTTTTTCAGAAGCTGGATCAAAATATTTGTCTTATTAAAAATATTGGCAAAGGTATGATGTACTAAATACTTGTACTGTATTTATGATTGTAATAGCACTGAATACCTCGTGAATCATTACTGATAAACAAGATACAGAAAACCTGTTCAAAGTAAATGCTATAATAAGGACATCATAGAAATTATCATAAAGAGAGTATTTAGAATTTCTTAACAACTGACACACACACACACCCACACCCACACCCACCCACCCCACCCATCGCCATTTTATCATAGATTCATAAATACATTAAAGTGTGCGCCAAAGTTTAAAACTGCGCAGGCGCACCGCTCTCGCTAAACTATATAAAGAGATTACCAGGTACACGATTCAGAGGTAAGCCAGGAAGGCAAACGATCTTCGTCTCGTGATGATTTCCCATATAATCGTAACCAGGGAAGTTTCACCATTGAAATTGAAAATTGCTATTAGATATACTTTGTAGATGTTATTTATGAAGCTATTTAGTGTTTGCATCAATCAAATGGCTCATTTTGAACATATAAAAAGTATTTGTGTTTTGTTTCCCAGGGAATTGTATTGTATGTAGTACACACATAAATAGTGTACATTATACAGTACTTGAATAGCCTGGTTTACATAATATTGAAGGGCATGCTGATTACATGCACGAGTACATGAATGAAGGCCTTATATTGATATACGTAGCTTGCATACCTAAATAAAAAATAAACTCTTCTAATCCCCTAATGTAAACACGGCGGTATACGTATCCCGATTTATCGGGGGCTTTAAAAGGAAAGTACATTTTTTATTTCACTGTCAGTACCTTTACAATTAGTATTGAACACAAATTGAATAAATAGTAATATCAAAAAAGTACACTGCTACATTACAATTCTATGTTTACTTACTTCGAGGACGACTTGCGGCGTGTAAGGGGCGGTTTCTTAATGCATGTTTTACATTGACAACTTATCAATAGGGAGTCATAAGAAATACACTGCAATCAAGAAAGACGTGTTATTCCAATGAATTTAATTTTTTCTTTCACAGCTGCTGATGAATTGAAACCGATCCTGAGTTATTTATTCACCCTGCTTCTCAGAAATCGAAGGTCGTATACTCAAAGTGCTTTTGCTACCATACCTTATAAGGAAATGAGTAGGAAGTCTCAAAGTCTTATCATCACGTGATTATATATAACTTTCAAAACATACGTTGCTTGCATTAGTTTTTGCTGGAGTTACGAAGAACGCTGTTACTCACAGGTATTTACAAATACATGTATGATAAAAATCTAATTTTCTACAGTTCTGTCTTAGCTGATCATGATCAATTCTTTTAAGTTATAGCCTTTACAAATTAATTCTGTGATTTACGTTCAAAACTGAACTGAACTGGGATGAAAGATGACAACAATGTGGCTATTCGGGGATTAATTTGTCAAAAGGTAAACGCCTCCTTTGTTTTTTCAGCGAGACGCAACATCAAATCGATTATTATAGAAACAATAATAAAAAAAAGTTCATAAAAGAATCTGAATATTAGAAGTGCTCTCAATATTTTATAATGTAATTGTACTTTTAAGCTTATCTTGACAGCAATATTTATTTTGAAAAATTGAACCCCACTCTTCTCTCTGTATACAGAATGCAGTATATACACAGGCTGGTATCGAAAAATTTGTCCGCTGTGACGGAGCGTGCTATTTTGCATAGAAACACTAAGAAACCCACACAATTTATTTTTTTACTCATATGTTTCGCTATACCAAAGAAAATTTCTTACTCCATGCAATGGGTATATCATTTGCGGGTAATTTTAACTTTTGTTTGAAGTCCAACAACGCTAAGAGTAAAAGCTATTGAAAACGGCGCCAGGGTATCATACTCCAAAATGTACCATTTGTTTTATTTCTTTTTAATGGTACAATATAGTGACACGATAATATTTACATATGTTTTCAGCATAACTCTGAAGGTATTAATGATATCTTGATGTATTGGGTATTTTTAATATTTTTTATAAAAAATAATGTTTACATTTTTTTGTCAGCTGTGACGGAGCAGTTTTAACTGTAAACTACGTTAAGAATTTAAGATTCAAATTATATCTTTTAAAAGTACCCTTAGAAGAGAGAACGTCACAAATCACTTTCCTAAATAATGACAAGCAGCCTTTTGGAGATATGGGGTAATGTAAATCTGAGATATAAAAACGACCACTCTTAGTATTTTTCGGAGGTTTGTACTGAAATCAACATGAATCAACATGATGTAAACTCAACATAATATTTCTAATACGTTTTCGCCTAGACGTCTTGAAATGTCACGTGTAGTGTAAATAGGGCTAATATGAATTTACTTATTGGAAATAGCGCACAGACATCATGCATGCCGACAGATGTATAACCTTTTACCACATAATATTATATTACTGTATATAAGATGATCCCAATACAGATTTAATTAGCAATTATTTGAAATTCATGAAATTCATCGGTTTGCATAGACTAAAATTATAAAAAAAAGTCTTTGTAAACGTGCTGCACTGTAAAACCTGTATCAATGAATATCTTTCTCTAGTGAACACCTCTTCTTATCAAATATTCCTCTGCCTTCTGTATGGAATTGCCTCTATGGAGTGAACATCTATACCAACTGGGAACACATTTTTGGGCTCCATATGTGTTCACTGTACACATATTTTACTGTAGTTGCACCAGATAGCCATAACTCTTAGTCAAATAAAGAACGATCTTAAAATCAAATTTTGCATTTTCGTATTTCAAGATACATTCAACCTACCTTTTGGAACGACTAAAGAGGGTAAAACAATCCACAGTCCATACCATTATATGTATTTATGTTTATCACACGCATGTGTTTACCAAAGCTTTGTTGCACAAAACAAACAAAAACAACTGTTTTGCCTGTTATTAAATTTATTCAAATATATTAATAATATTACGTAACATTATATAATATTACATAACAATGTGTGCAAGTTTGGGAATATTTTTCGAGGGGGGGAGGTCGGGGAATGGGTGGGATTTTTTATAAATACATATTTATTTAGTTACTGTATGCACGTACTTCAAATATGAAAATATGAAATATAATACATCTAAAACCAGCTGACTGCAGAATTTATTCAATAGATGTCTACTCATTAAATGATAGCTTGCAAGTGTTGAGCATGGTACATATCTTGGGACTAACCAACCCTCTTCCAAACTCCTCCCCTAAAAATGATTGACAGGGATGTGTACTTGCTTAGATGTAAACATAAAGAATCTAATCTTCAATTAGATTAATATTTAGCTTCATCTTCAGCAAATCATTTTACTTCAAATAATTAAGTTACCGTAAAAAATGACCATGTCAGGCCGATGGATCCACAGAGGGCACTACGAAAAGCAAATACCCATTACTGAAATGGAAGTTGACTATCATTTTCATGAGTTACCATGCATAAGTTGGATTGCAGTACAAACTGAGAAAAGAAGCTTAAAGAATGGTCGTATATACATCTCAGAATTTGAATTGTGTACTTTTATTACGTTTCATTTTTCAGAATACTTTACGAAAGAGATTTGACACGCTCGCTCCTCTAAAGTTTAGTTGTAAAGAAATATATTATGAATCTAAATTCTTAACGCATTTCAGATTTGAAACTGCTCCGTCACAGCAGACAAAAAAATTAATTATTATTTTTTATCAAAAAAATTAAAAATACCCAATACATAAAGATCTCATTAATACCTTCTAGTAGATGGGTTAACTGCATTTAAGGGGGTCTGGACTTCAATCTATGATGCAAACGTTTCCTTTGACATGACAGTACCTTAGGACCATAGAATCAAATTTATCCAAAGACACACGCCAGATGGCGCTTTATATTGGAAATATTCAAATTTTTCAAAATGGCCGCCAAAAATACAACGGAGACAATATATTTTCTTCTATGCATACTATAATGATACGATTGGTGCCTAAATATACATTTTGTGGGTGAAGAATCAATTTAGTATGGTGTGAGTCTTGAAAGTTAAGAACTTCCTCTTCATATCAAAAAATTATGCCTTTTTCAAAATGGCTGCCAGAGATGTAACAAAGATGATATCTTCACTTGTATGCATGCTACAACAGTAAGATTGATGTCCAAGTATACATTAATGGGTGGTAGAATTCATTTGATAAGGTTTATAGTCTTTATTTTCCCAACGAAGAAAGTTCAGTGGGGATATAATGAAGTCCTCCGTCCGTCAGTCTGTCAGTTCATCGTCTGTCTTATGTATGATTTTGCAATTATTGTCAGATTCCTTCAAAGTCATATGGCCATATGTACTCAATTAAATTGAAGATGGCGTTAATTTTATGATTAATGGCTCAGAAAATTCAAAATGTCGCAGAGAAGGAGTTGGTTAGCTATTACTTACAAGATATGTCGTCAAGGTATGGTAACTTACATTATATTAAGTTAGATCTCAATTCTTTTATTGTCTAAATATAATTTTTACCATTGACTAAATGTCACCAAAATGTTGAAATCAGTGGAAATTGTACTGTATGTCTATTAGTTAACAAACATTTTCACCTTTTATTGAAAATGTATGCCTTTTTTCAATGGCTGTGGAAAATATTACAAAGAATTATATCTAACAAGGGCTCTTAAACTTCTTCAAAAGTAGAATAGTTTGAAAGTGTTTTAAGTAATTGTTGGTATAAAGTGATGCAACTTTTGATATGTTTTAATTGAGAAAGAAGATCATCTTTTTACAAAATAAGCTTAACATTTTAAAAAAGTGCCAATGTGGGATCCTTATCCATAATTTTCCAGAAAGTTGGATTCATATTTAACAATCATGGGAACTTCACTTGGAATAAAACACATTGTTTTTATGGCCAGGAAGTACTTATGGTGAAAGACATATTGCCGTTTAAAATCTTAAAATCTTAATCTCTTAAATGTTCAAATGAGAAAATAAGAATATTTTTCTCAATATGACAATATTCAGTGCTGTATGTGTGTACATACATGTCTTTTTCAAAATGGTTGCCAATCAACAACAAGCTTAATAGTTTGTTGGTTGGATTAGTGGAAGTCTTGGTAAACAGAGACATCATCCATGATTTGGTCAGAGGAGAGGAAGAGGGTTCTGAAATACTGTCATAATATGCAGCCCTTGAAATCTATTCCGAACTTCAAAATTTTCTCTCGCCAGAAGGTTTCTGGCCCTTTCTAACTGTATGTCTGTTCTGCGTGGTCTCTATCTATCACATTTCTCTCTTATGTATGTTGCATTGCAACAACTAAAATTGCACTACCATTGCAGATGCATGTTTATTTCAAGTTATTAAGGAGACACTGGTGTTTCTGGTGAATTTGAGTAAAAAGAACATTGAAAGATAAATACACAGTTGCTGTGTTAAGGCGAAAACGATTATTTTTAAGGCTCATAATCCAATTTGCTAGATGGGAGTAGTAACAATCTTTATTTTTGTCATTAAAAATTCAAAATTCAGTCTAACTGATGTTAAATTTTGAATCTTAATGAAAAAATACTTCAAGAAATGTGGTTTTGAAATGAGTCCATCAACTTTAAAATTGATTTTTTTCGAAAATGTGACGTTTAGGTCAGGGAGATTCCCCATAGTCGCCATGTTGTAAAACACAAAAAGTGAAATATATTTTCTTGTGTTGTGCAGATATTTTCTTTAACTGGAGATATTTTAATTTGTACAACTATCAGATACAAACGAGTAATATGAAATGTGAACCACTAGAAATTAAGAATATTCAAGTTTAAGGGAACTTTGTAATACCCTGCAATGTTATTTCCGAATTAACCACCTGGTGGGGAAAATGGTAACTACCCTTGCATCTGAGTAATTATATAGATTTTACATTCCCAAAATTGTAGATTTTGAAGCCAATTTTATGAAATATTATGCCCAGAAATAAAGAAACTTTTAGCAAAGATACAATTTTTGTTAGCAAAGATACAATCTTTGTTAGCAAAGGTACAATCTTTGTTAGCAAAGATACAATTTTTGTTATATTTTCAGCTGCATATATTTCCAATATAAAGTGAAAACTATAACCTCACAAGGCTTAATAAAATTGATTCTCCTACCCCATGAATATAAAATTTTGACACCCAATCGTATCAGTGTATCATGCACTGATGTGAAGATATCATCATTGTTATATTTCTGGTGGCCATTTTTAAAAACGCAAAATTCTTATTATGGAAGACCTATTTAAATGGATTCTACAAACCGATATTAATGTATACTTTGACACCACTCTTATCATTGTAGCATGCTGAGAAACCAAGATACCTTCTTTCTTATATTTCTGGCAGCCATTTTGAAAAATGCATATATTTTGAATATAAAGTGCAAGTGCTGAATTTACAAGACTCGAAACCTAATTAAATAGATT